GGGGGGGGGCGCACGTCTCGGGGCTTCATACAAGGGATCCGACGGCTGTATAGCTGGCGGATCGCTTGTATATTAACGGGCATCGCTGCCTCTTTTCAAATAGCGGGGATTTCCCGCCCGAGCGGGCGGATGTAACAGGACGTGTATACACGCCCAGTTACATCCAAGAAGCTCCCGGCAGGCCGTGTATACACAGCGGCTGGCCGGGAGGTAGTTAAAGGTCTTTGGTGTTCCTATGTTTGTATATTCATTTGACTTTTGAAGCCTGTAGCAAACATTAACCTGATTGCTTGTGTTGACAACAGGTTTTTGTTTGTTTTAAAGGAGAACTATGAGGTGAATGAATTGTACTCAGCCCCATAATTTCAGCCAACATGTGACATTGAAACTGTCGCAGGTCGGCTCTATTGATCAGGAAGTGAGCAAAAACATACAGCCGCTCGCACACTTCTCGATCAACTCCCTGGAGAGAACGATGTCAGTCGCCTCTCCCCACAGGGATTCTCCGATCCTCCACCACTGACTGAAAGGGCTGGACAGGGCAGGGGGTGGGCATAGCTGGCTCTGCCTCTAGATTGTCAGAGCCCGCTGTCAATCAGCCAGCAGGGTGGCTCTCAACAGTATTGTTGGGATCAGTCTTGGCTGCGGTGCTCTCAGCATATAACGGGCAATACTGAGTTTTGGGTCACGGGAGGATGTTGGTATATGTCCTGCCATAGCTCTAAAGAGAACTATGGGATAAAAAAGTTACCAGTTAGCTTCCCTTGATAGCTGGTTACACCATATTTCCACTTAGAGCTGTAGTTTTAATTTTTTCCTTAAAGGAGAATTATGAGGTGAGTGATTTTTCACTCATCCTCATAGTTCTAGCCGACCTGTGACAATGAGACATTACAGGTCGGCTCAGTAGATCGGGAAGTGAGCGAACACATACCGGCGTCCGCACACCTCTCGATCCTGTCACGGCTCTCTGCCGTGACAGGGGAGGGACTGGATTCCCTGCTCCGATCCTCCAGCGCTGACTGGCGGAACGGACGGGGCAGGTACAGCTGGCTCTGCCTCTAGATAGGCAGAGCCAGCTGTCAGTCACGCAGCTGGGCGGATCCAGACATAATTGTCGGGAACCGCTTCAGCTGCGGCGTCTCAGTATACCGCTAGCTGTAGCTTGCGGTATTCTGAGCTTAGGGTGACGGGAGGACGCTAGTTTGTGTCCTCCCGTTACCTTAAGGAGAACTATTGGGAAAAGGCCTAACCCCATAGTTCTCCTTTTTTAAGGGTGCATTCACACCAAAATCAGAAGGTACTTGCAGGTCAATGGAGGGTCCGTTGACTTAGGATTGTACCTTCTGACTTGCTGTGTCACTACGCTTCCCCTGCCTAGCTGTGTAATGTTGTAGATGTTTTGTAAATCATAAGATTGTCTATACAGAATTCTAAATCCTTTAGGATGTAGAACAGTAAATGTGTTTACACTGTGTATACTATGTTTGACTTTAAATACACATATAATCAACATAACTCAATTTTCTTGGAAATGGTAATATTCTTTGAGCATGACCTAAAAACCACTAATGTATGATCAGTAGAATGTCCTGTTTGGGCTACATAGTTGTAGCCTGGTGGTTGCTGTGTCCTTGTAAAATGTCTGACCTTTCCCCTCCCCTATAGGTATTACCTGGAGTGAGGAAACCCTTATGGAATACTTGGAAAATCCTAAAAAGTACATCCCTGGCACAAAGATGATCTTTGCTGGAATCAAGAAGCAAGGAGAGAGGAAAGACTTGATAGCATATCTCAAACAAGCAACTTCCTGTTAATTGCTGCATCTGATGCCTTATTTATTTCAGGGAGGGAACCAGTATGATGAGATGCTTTTAAAAATTTATATATTTTTTATTTGTACTGTCCATACATATTTTAGATTGTGTCTCATCAGTGAATGTAAAGTTATTGAATGACAAATATTGGTGAAATGAATTTGGCTGTAAGATCTCTAAATGTGTCACTTGGTGGATCAGATGTGTCATAAAAAAAGAATTAGGCGGTCCTGACATAAAAAATTCTGTTCACGAAAATGTTTTTGTTTCAGAATGTTGTGGGGTTTTTTTTCTCTTCTCTTCCCTTCCCCCATATTGGCATGCTTGTACTGTCACACAATCATTTCAGCAAGACTAAAGCTGGCCATACACTTTCGTTGCTGCCAAGAACCCTCTTGATTCTATCTCATAGCCCATCGTGCACAGACCATGTCGTTTCGATAATCGTTCATTAGCAATACGATCGACAGAATGGATGTTTGTTTGTGCAGTGTTCATGTTGTGGTTTTCTTTTTTTTTTCTTCTTCGCTCCTATACAAATTGAAAAAAGTTTTCCAGCCTCACCCTTTGAGAAAATTCGGCCAGCAGTATAGTTCAATAAATTGTTGGGGTTCCCATCAAATGATCATTTATTGTTCGAAAAACCAATTGTGGACTACCGAGTATAAGCCGTCCCGAATATAAGCCGAGGTACCTAATTTTACCACAAAAACTTGGTGTTTTAAGATGGTCTGAAGGTATATGCACCATGTCTAGGTGCCTGCTGTTTATACGTGTAGTCACTTTTTTTTCTGAATGGCAGGTGTACTTGACCAGTCCGACCTTGCCGCAATGGCCTGCTGTGATTGTATAGTGCCAACAATTTATACATAACTTTACACACTGCACATTGTGCACACATACTAGGGCTAGAGAGGAGACAATTAGCCTTCCAGCATGTCTTTGGAATCTGGGAGGAAACTCATGCATGAGGAGAACATGCAGGAAAAGTCCTGACCAGAATTTAGTATTGAAGG